TAGTGGACATTGCAATACCTGGAGACAGCAGAAGAGAAGAGAAAGAACTAGAGAAAATCACGAAATATAAAGTCCCACAAATAGAAGTAGAACGACTTTGGCAAAAGGAAGCTAAGAAAGTACCAATAGTAATAGGCGCCTTGGGCACAATCCCAAAACATCTGGAGCACCACTTGAAGACCATCAGCACTGACAAAATCACGACCAGTCAATTGCAAAAGGCAGCTTTACTTGGAACAGCTTACATCCTGCGACAATACCTTTAACACTATCAAACAACAAGATCTGCGTATCCCAGGTCCTTGGGAAGGACTCGATAGGTAAATAAAAATGCCAAATGCAGTTTAAACATCTGGCTGCCTGTGAACCAACAATAATAAATTATTAAACTTGTATGCAACCCAATTCTCAATTAATCTGGGTGGCTTACAACAATCAAAGAAAGACAGTCCAATCTTTGTAATAATAAACATTGGGTGAGTGGACATAATACTAACATGAGAAACCTCTGATAATATTATTATGTTTCCAGGTAATCTTCCATTTTTTGAAATGCAGCCAATGGAGTTTAGAAAAGTTTCTATTCTGAATAGAATAGTGTATTTCCACCAGAAATTCATACTTCTGGATGGATCACTGTGGCTGAATCTCCAAATTATAATATAGATATAAGAAGACTGTTCTGATCAGATTAATGTAATCACTAGAAATATGGTTTCCAGAATGCTGCCTTATACTTATCACTAGTGGCTTTTAATATTTTAAAAATATTTTAGTATTCTGTTAATGATTTTTTTTCTTTTTATATTTTAGTTGTACAGTGCCTTGATGGCATTTATCACAATATGCAAATAAATCATACAGCCACTATAAAAAGAAAAAAAAATCCCCTCTCACCCCTATAGGTGGTATGTGTCTTCCTCAATCTCGGGTCCTCTACCAGAGGCCTGGGAGTTTGAGGGTTCTGCACAGTATCTTAGCTGTTCCTAGCTTCTGGACAGAGAGCTCTGAATGTTGTTCCTGGAATCTGTTGGAGCCACTCTCCCAGCTTAGGAGTCACGGCCCTGAGTGCTCCTACCACCACTGGGACCACTTTGGCCTTTACTTTCCACATCCTCTCTATTTCCTCCTTCAGGCCCTGGTACTTCTCCAGCTTCTCATGCTCCTTCTTCCTGATATTGCTGTCACTTGGCACTCCTACATCTATCACTACCGCTGTCTTCT